TGTTGCGCAGTAGGAGAATGCAACGATGAGGGTTTCTCAGTTTATGAAAGTGAAACGGAATAAATTTACCCACCGATAAGACTATACATAGAACATAATTTATTTTCCTAACAAATTATTTGATTTTTGTATCATTTTGATGTATTTAGTGACAAATTGAATGGGTGAATCATGGGTTACTCTATATAAATTCAATTCTAACTCTTTTCTGAAATGAACTTGGTGGCCCTAAAAAGGGCCGTTTTGTTACGTTGGTGATAAGTTTTAACCCCCGAAACCGTACAGAGTGCGTCCCTGTCGCTTCAGAGTATAGACGACATCCATGGCCATGACGGTTTTGCGCTTGGCGTGTTCAGTGTAGGTGACGGCATCATGGATCATAATCTCTAGGAACACCTTCAGCACACCTCGGGTTTCCTCGTAGATCAGACCGGAGATACGCTTGACACCACCACGTCGAGCCAGACGACGGATGGCAGGCCCTGGATGTCATCACGCAGAATGTGGTTCTAAATTTACAGCAAAATGTTCTGCAATTGCATCCTCCCTATTCGTACACGCCCGAAGATCGGAGGCGAATGTCACTTCGACTTGTTTCATTTAGGAACCATTATCTGATGACTGTGTTGGGGAAGCAGCATATGCATGTACGTAATTGGTGGATTTGTTAGTTATTTTGAAGCTTTTGGACAATGCTTGAAATTTACTACTTTTTCAATAGTTTCAATTTGAAAGTCAACAGTCAAAAGCATTGTTATCGATGCGTAGAAATATTTCTGATCGATTGGTGATAAAGATTTTGAAATTGGTCCAGGGACAGCTAAGTTATTAACGTTCAAAATCTTTCATAATCTTATTTTTCGGATTTAAAAAAAGTGTACCCCCATCTTCCCGAAAGTCCAAAATAATAAAAAAGGGAATAAACCTAATGGCCCTCGGCTTTTATCCACAACATATTGACAGCAGAGAGTGGGCAGTTAATTGATCAAAGGAAGGATCAAAGGAATTCGGACATGATTGACCATTCGCCGTGCTAGATATTGGAAAAAAAAAATAGTATAATGTAGAAATAAATATTTTATTGAACTCATGTGTTAAAATGAACATAATCTGACCTTTTCTTGGATTGTTTCATGTGCTGCCTACTTATGCGTAGACTAGATATTTAACAAGAAGAGCACCGCGCTGGCGAAACATTTTCGTATCAATTTTTCTAGAATTATTGAGAAATAATTTAAGAATAAAAAATCTCTGACGCTAATAAAAAAAAAAAACAAAGAGCAAAAACAAGTTTGTTTCATGGTAAAAAGTTGAATCTTAAAAACCCAAAAAATCGCATTTCAATGCTTTATTGATTAATTTTGTTTACTAAGATAATATTTAAAATATATTCTTTAGAAGAAGCTCATCGCACCAAAATCAAATTTTTCTAACGCTAAAATACTGAAAAATGATATCAAAAATCTAAGAATATCAATTTTTACTTAGGTCTTGAACAAATTTACTTGCATGAAAAAAAATTGGACCCCGAAAGGTCTATTGGTAGGATCAATTTTTTTTTTGTTAATAACTTGGCTGGATTAACATTGTTTGGTGTGTTTGATGTTGCTTTCGCTCGGCAATTCAACCATTTTACATCACTGAATTGAAAAAAATTCGGGAATTAGTTTCACTTTAGTGTAGTTATACAAAGAGAAAATCGATTAAGAGAATCGATCAATGCAGTTAGGCCCTTATGGTTCTGAACGCTAGAAATGTGTTTATACTTAAGTATTTTTTTCTAGTGTTGGAGAATAAAACTGATTTTTTTTAGAATCATGATATCTCTTTCCAATATTTTTAGAATAACCAACCAAAACGTATTTTTTTTCGGGGTGGTAAGGCTCACCTTAATACTACATTCAGACTTCAGCTGATATTACGTAATGTAGGCTATCTTGCTATCAAGAGTCATGCATATGATTTCCAGTGATAATTTGTCGTATGCAAGGCACCCTATTTTCTGGTTTTCGTTCGAACCGCATTCTTCAAACAAATTTTTTTTTTGTTTGAGGCAGTGATGCAAAATATCATGACACTCACGTGACACTCGTCTTCGCATCAACCGAATATCGCTAACAGATCGTTTTGTCACGCAGTGAGAGTTAGAGCCATGGCAAACAACAATCACCAGGAATGGTCGCTGCTCACAAGCAAAACGTTACGCTCGCTGCTGATGATGAAAAGCACAACGAAAATAGTGAAGACTTCTGCAGTACGATCATGAGAAAAAGCGAAACGACAGAAGAAAAAATGAAAACAATGCCTACGCATTCCAAGTTCGTCTCGGCAGGCGCGACTGTGTTATTTACAATCAAAGCAGGCAACGGAAGCTGTTGGGCTCACTCACCAACACACTCACATAAGCAAGCAAAGCAGCAACTGCTTCAAAACGAGCAGTTGTCGTGATTGTCGGTAATGACCAGATCGGTGATGGATCATAACAGAAGACGACATTCACCAGTTGCTTTTTACTTCTTTCGTCAACTTGATGGATGGTCATGAAGAGAGCTTCGACGAGCACATTGATAGGAATGTACAAAGCGTTACTACCATCAACTGTTTGGCGATCGTGATTGTGATAGGTCGCAACTCTGGTTTGAGGAAACGGTTCCAACGAAAACGATTATATGGGTGATCAGCTATAGTCTGAACGTGGTATAATACCATGTTCAGACCTGTGACTGATATTACGTAATATACACGGAGAAAAAATTGACTTCAGCCTCTCACTAGCACTCGTTATTGTTGTCAAAAAAGGAACAAGAAATTCGACCCAACGATATAGTTCAACCCAATAAGTTACTTTTGAGTAAATTGCATATTCTCAAATTTACGTGAATTAAACTTAATTTTGGGTAGAATATACTTAAGAGTAGGTATTTTTTTGCTGGTGTTAAATGGAAACTACTATATGCGATTTACTCAAATTTGGGTTATTGGGCTGAACCCCAGAATTGAGGGGAAAGTACTTAATTTTGGGTAGTTTTTCATCTCCGTGTAGGTTTTCTTGCACCCATACTTCAAATGTTCGCTGCAAATCAGTCTTCTTCTTCTTCTTCTTCTTCTTCGTGGCTTTACGCTTATATATGGGGTGCTTACACCTATGCTTTTTCACTAGCGCTAATGAGCCAGCTGCTAGCAAAAAAGCTCACCAGCATAATGTAAACAATGCATCAGCGTCTACCAGCATGAGAGTTCAGGAGCAACTGAAATTCGTGCTAGTTGGCTAGTACACTAGCGCTAGCAAATCTGCACAGATGTAAACACCCCAATAACGAGCATTTTTGTCGGCTCTCTTGCAGTTGAGCCACATGTGAAAAGTTTCCCCTACCCGGCGATGTTGATGGGTTGCGTTGGTGTCATATGGATGGCAAGAAGGTTTGTTTACAAAAAGGCTTGTATGCCCTTTTCACATGTTGTTCTTGAACTTAGTGTTGCAGATGCGCTTCCACAGTTATTAGTTGAGATCTTTCCATATCAACACCAATGCATTAAAGCCCTACAGTAAAAGAATGGACGTCTGTCCGAAGTTGTTCCAATCGAACCGTCAAAATGCACCGCTTTGCTCGATTCGAACCGAGAAGGCGACTCTATCTGTTAAGATGCAGGAAATTTTCTGCTTTGCTGTTGTGAGATTCACTCGCGCTTAATAGATAGAAACACGAATGATTATGATTTTGAAGATTTCCTGCAAAAGGGTGGAGAGCGCTGCGAGTAGATGGGTTTAGATGCAAGAGATGAAAAAAGATTTTCCGTAAATTGATTCGCTAGTGTGTCGCCTTCGATTTGGTATAGCCGTGTTTTCAGCGACTAGGCTATCTGAGGCCCTCTGCACTTCATAAGACATTTTATAGCAAGATAGCCTATATAACGTAATATGAGCTACCGTGGAGACACCATATTCGAAGCTGTTCCTAAATCGACGCACTCAATAATGTTCGACTATTTTGAATCAATAGTTTTGAAATGCTACTACTGCAAATATTAGTTCCAATCGAGGGGTGCGACACATCTAAATCTCGATTTTAAATGGTCGAAAAATCTCACCCTAGCGAATCAATTTACGGAAAACCTTTTTTCATCTCTTGCATCTAAACCCATCTAATCGCAGCGCTCTCCACCCTTTTGCAGGAAATCTTCAAAATCATAATCAATCGTGTTTCTATCTATTAAGCGCGAGTGAATCTCACAACAGCAAAGCAGAAAATTTCCTGCATCTTAGATAGAGTCGCCTTCTCGGTTCCAGTGCTCTAGGAGTTTAACCAAGTTTAAAAAAAATACCTTGTCAAAATCGAGATGCGCTCAAAAATAGACGAGTGCGTCATCATTAGGAACGCGTCAAATATGGTGCTGATACGGTACAGTTCTTATATAGTAGCAGGTATAAGTAGATTGTTTTAGATTTTTAAATCATATTGCACGGAGGCGAACCTTGCATTATTTTTTTTTTAGACGCTACGAATCACGGTCTTGGTCATCAATAATTCTGTTATTTCACGACATGGACTATACATTTCAGACATAATGCTAATATAATAGTCATATAGGCCAATTTGGCACAATATACTGCTACAGGCTACTGGGCAAAGAACTCCAATTTTACCACATAAATAACTCAATCACATTCATACACACCGATAAATTACATCTTCAAGCTCATCACATTCCACGACTTCAAGGAAATGATTTCAGTCTTCAGTCAGGTGATTCCTTGTAGAGTCCACAAATGGCCGCCACGTAGGCTATACATGCACATCCACTTCGAATTTACAATTACACAAATCTCGGAAATCAGTGACCCATTTCACCTGAAATCGGTACTTCAGCAAACGAAGAGTAACAATTTGAATGTTGCACGTTTCGTAGAAGCTGATTTTTTGTTCACTTAAAGTTTCGAAGTGGTTCCGAGAATAAGGATGTCACAGCGATTCCTCTTAATAGTTAATCACGACCACGATCCTCAAGCCCCATTAGCCCCAAAACGAATGATGCGGTGGATCGCTGCAAAAATAATCACATTTGTAAGTTTTAAACCAACACTTAAAAAAAATCAGTTTTGACACGAAATTACCCATAACTTTCAACATAACCATCAATCACAACCGGCTGCTGTTGTTGGTCGTGCAGTTGGCCGCTCTTGTAGTAGTCGCCAGCAGCTTGAATTCCACTGGAACCAAAAGAGAACAACATCATGGTCAATGCAGCCGTCCCGGTGAGGACTATTATCAACGGAGCTTGCCACGTGCGGAACCCTTTAGTAAAAAATAAATAAATAAAAAATAACGAAATGCTGATCATCTTCTAACCATAACAAATTAAATCAGGTACTTACACATTTGTCCATAATAAGTCAGGACGGACCGACCACTTTCACCCTCTTGGCCAACTGCTATCAGCGAAGACGATGACTCACTGGTTTCATTTCTACTGCTGCTGTGTAAATCACACGCACCGCCTACTATACAGCACAGAACCAGAACGCCTAAAGCGTCTCTCACTTCGTTCCTAAGCCTGCTACTGATCATGTTGAACTAAAGGCGACATTGGAGCGCCTGTTTCGGTTTTATAACGCGATCAACCGAACGAGCGATCCAATTCATTAGCTTCAATTAGTGCACCGGATCAAACTTTTCCACTTCCGCCTATAAATATCGACAGGGTTTACTTCCTATCGCTTTAGTGCGGTGCAGTTCGTTCAAGTGTAATAATCGACAAACAGGATGATCAATCGTGGGACGCTGGTAGCGATGATGCTACTGACCGTAGTGGTGGCACTGAATACGGTGATGGCCGATACTGCAGTTGCTCGCGTTGAAGCAACAAATCAGGAGCAAGCTCGTCAAACCACCACCCTAGTTAATGGAAATAGATGTGAGTTGTCTGTCGCTAGCAGTACGTAACTGATCATTCATAATTTATCATTTTCACAGGGTGGCCCTACGGATGGGGTTGGGGTTGGGGTTGGGGTATAGCGGCATTTGTTCTGGCAATCGTTAAGGGATCCATCCTGTTGGGACTGTTCGTGATATATGCCTTCTTCAAGGGATTCGGCCGCAAGTCGGGTGGTTGTGCTCCGATCATCATCCGCGAGTCGGCACCACCACCGGTTAGCTTCGAGCACCACCACCCTTGGGATCGCAGCAGCCCGCCGATCGGGTACGCAAGATCGAAACGATCGCCGGATTATCTCGATTCGGAACTGTACTGGACCGATTTGATCACGGATATTGCATTTAGCTTTCTGGGCGTCCACTCGCGGGACTGTCGGAAGCGGTTCGTTTGTGAAGTGGATGTACGATCACAGAACGATCCTATGATGAAAATGGCTACGCACGCATTAGGAGTGGACATCTTCCGAAGGTATCGATCGAGTGATGATAGGAATGCGAACTCTTTCGAAGAATGTTCCCAATTCTACGACAAGTGCAAACTGGCAGGACCATCGATTACCTACAACGTGTTCAACGGACCGATCGATCTGCTGCAGGACTACGACGATTCCATGGGAGGGCAATTTGATGAAGCTGAAGTTAATACCCAATCAGCTAGTGAATATGATGATACAATGATTGCAACAACTACAATGGAAGATCCGAAGAATAAAATGGCCTACAATAAGCGGAAAAAGTTTTCTAGAATTGCGTAATTGGTCACTTCTCCAGGAGGTGAAGTTATTGAATCAAAGACTGATGAGAGCTATCGATATTGTTAATAGTTGGTAGAAATTAGAAGCGCCAATGTGCTAAGAAATCAAATTTAATGGTAGAAGCGCAAACGAGAAGTGAAATATATATGTTATTTATTTATTATATTCAACGTATGAATAATCTAGTTCAGTCCGAAATTCTCTCAACAGTTGGCGCTAGCATGCATATTAACCTATATTCTCTGTTCCGTTCGAAACGGAATTCCCATACATTTTTTTTTATGTATGGGAAATCCGTTTCGAATGGAATACAGAATAGGGGTGATTACTATTCGTACTTTTCTTTATTAATCTCGATAAGATAGAAGGTAGCTGTCTTTGGCACGGTTGCTTAAGTGGACGAAACCTTGTAGGCCTCAGAGCGCCGTAATTTGAATAAAAGTTAGAGGTTGTATCCAAGACTCGACCGTAGATTTGACGTAGGATTACGTGCTCGGTATCAATATTTGGCGACTATGTTAGGGAAACCACTATTTGCAGGTAATCGGCTATAATTTTGATTACCATTGCAACAGTTGGACATTTGTGTAATTTTCAATAGTGACCTATTAAAAATTGATAAAGTATTCATTTTAGCAGCTTCGTAGAAAAATTAACAATCAATTGGCTTGTTTAGAATTAAAATCCATCCACTATTGACAGAGTTATAAGTGGTCAAAACCTGACCACTTTTCGTAACGCGGTCGATTTTGGTTTTTTTTAATCCTAATCCTACGTCAAAAATTGCAATGATTGAGCCCACCCTCCAGTTTGATTCATAACTCCAACATATGAGCATGGTAAAAAAAAATGCGGTTATGCCGCGGATACACTTGTATGACAAACTATGAACATGGCCATTATTTGTATAATAAATTATGAGCACATCCATGGTCACACTTGCATAGTTTTTGTATAGTTGTTGTATAGTGCTCATAATTATTATACAAATAATGCTCATGCTCATAGTTTGTCATCCAAGTGTATGCGCGGCGTTACGGCTTATCTATAATTATATATAGCTAAAGCTAGCCCGATTTACTCCGGAGGGGCGGCTCCGAGCAGAGTATTTCTCTAAAAGATGTTCGGATATGGATGAAAATGAAAGCAAAAGAGAAAAAAAGAAAACGCAATTTAAAGGGAAGCTAACCGCTCCGAAAAAAAAATATTACGTTTCGATTTTTCTAAAAATGTTGGAAAACGATATCAAAAATCTAAAAAAACAAATCACATTTTTTTCTTATTATCTAAAGAAAATGCACGAGCAAAAATCTATTTTGTAAGTCTCCCCTCCTTCTTCACATGTACTGCCTAGCAGCGATCCATAGCGTTTAGCGGGGGATGCGCGACGCTCCTTTTTCGGCAGTCCCCCGGCGACGATGGTGGCTAAGCACCGGACCAACTGCTAGCCGTAGATGGTCCCGGTCAGTCTTGTAAGCGGTCACCGTAGTCGACACATTTTCTGTGATAATCGACTGCCTTTGCTTCCGACATTTGCTAAACAAGCTATCAAATTACAGTACCAAACTAAAATGTCATATGACAGGCTCTGTTATACGACACTGTCGCCGAAGACCGTCACGAATGTATGTATTTTAGTTTTTCACATAATAAGAGCTGCTGAGGTTGTACTTGTGTGAATTCTGTGAATAGCAAGCAATGATGTCCTAGTAATAACATTTCTGATCAGAAATGGTTTTAATTTACATCAAATGCAGGAATCACACATGTCATACGATAGTTATTTTATAGTTTTATTTTTGCTCGAATTTTGTTCTACCGTTTGTGTTGTGTAAGAGAGACGACAGTAGAGCATGAGTGTACGAATACAAAGAGACTTTCGCGCACGACACCGAAGCGAGTTTAGTAAAAAAACGTCAACTGTTTCAACCCGTGGTCCCGGTAGTCACCGCAGTGAACTACCCAGGCGAACACTCCTTCGGTTTGACCAGCTTCGTCCCTCCTTGACTCTTAACTGCAGTGGCGAAACTGGCTCTACTGGCTGAGCCACCGCAGTGAGGATGGCGGGTGTTTTTGGGAATCCTTGGGGGTTAGCCGGGGAAGCGGAAGACTCCTATCCACTTAGCTTCCCTCCTTTCACTCGTGACGGTGCTTTGAATCTATCGACCAGCTGACGCGCGCCACGGAAAACGGCACAGAAGCTTCAAGTTTCCAATAAAACGGACCGGGCAAAAACGCGTCAATCTTCAACCGTGGTTCGTAACTGTCTCCTCTAACAATCACGGACAATAACAAAAACCGCCATCGTTCTCCTGCAACCACGAAGAACTACAACCAACAATCAATACGAAACTAACGATTTTAAATTGGCTCACTACTTGACTAGCCTATTGGTCCCAAGCAAATCGATTAACGTATCCCATTCTAGTCGAAATTCCAGTACTAAACTATGTTAGTTTTGATTCGCTACACGGCGAATGAGAACAACCCAAATTTGAGTTTAGTTCACTCATAATCGCCAACAGTGCAGGAACTCAGCGATGAGTAAAATTTGTCCCATGGTTTCCTGTGGAAAACCTAAAAAATCTGCCGGAAAATAAGGAAATTAACGAAAATTTTATTCAGTCTCGGAGTAGTACCAATAGACTGAGTGAATCCAATCTTTATTTTTCTCAAATTCGGGAATTTTTCCCTGGAAAATCCTGGAAAAACCTGGACTCATCGCTGAGTTCCTGCACTTTTGGTGATTATGAGTGAACTAAACTCAAATTTGAGTCGTTCTCATTCGCCGTGTATGAAAGTTTGAGAGATGAAATGAGGGGTTTGTTGATTTTCCTATGTGTCGAGGGGTGCATCAATTAGCTTGGGACCGAAGATAGTACCAGAGCTGAGTCAAAAAGTTGAGCACTTTACTTCGGGACCTTCTAGTCTTAGAGTTACCTCTATGCTACAACCGCAGTCAAAAACATCATCCGGGACCGGGATGGTTTTATGACAGGTGGGCAGGAGCTCACGGTCTCCCAGTGTTGGTGAGTTCTTTGCCGTTAATGTTCACGAAAAGTTCAGTTTTTTTGCCATACAGAAATCAAAAAAAAAAAAAAATTATGGGCGAATTTGGACAGTTTTTGACCTGTTTCATACGACCAGAATGTGTATGCTGGTCACAAATGTCGTACCAAACTGATTTCCTACGCAATTAATCAACCTTTGGTATGAATTTCACTAATAAACACGAGGAGCATTCCCTATAGCAAAAATTGGCATAACAAAATGGGCATAGTTCATTTTAGTAAACAAACTAACATTTCTTCCTTGTGTGTCACCTTTGTATTTAGCGCCTAGATCCGGGACCACCCCGAACATCCGTCGACCAACAAGCTAGGACACCCGTCAGTAGCTAAGAGGTGACAACTGGCTTCTTCCTCTTTTATTTCTATCTCTATCTTACGCAAATGAAATCGGCCAATCAGGAGCTGGTTCACGTTTGGCAGAAAAGTGGTTCATTTTGGCCCCCGTATTGTTGTCGGTGGGGTATGTTTTACGGAGTAAAACTAAGGAGCGTGTTTCTCCTCTGAGTGACGACTACTGACTAACGTTTATTTGTTCTTGGTGTGATACATAGCAAAGTGTGTGAGTGTGCGTGTATGGGTGTTGTGTGATTGATACATAGATGTTTGGATAATGCACTGGGTGAAAATGTACTGCTGGAATCGGCATCGGTGTTACACGGTTGTGCAAACCGACACTCCTCCTCAACGATGCTAGTTCGACGTCTCGGTTGGATCCTTGACGCCGATGGCAGTTCTGTGCCTCTCCAGCTTGACTCGCTGTAGGGGCTTCGTCATTAGGTCCGCTTCCATGCGCTCGGTTGGCATGTAGCGAAGCTCGATGATACCTTGTTGATGCAGGTCCTTGGTGAAGGCGTACTTCGTGTCTATGTGCTTGGAACGCCTCTCCAGACGTTCTGATTCCACGATCTTCATGCAAGACTGGTTGTCCTCCCAGACGACGATGGGATTTACTTGAGCCTGCTGCAAGTCCTTGAGAAGTTTCCGGAACCACATGAGCTGCTGACATCCGTCCGCCAGTGCGACGAATTCGGCCTCCGTCGAGGACAAGGCGACACACGATTGCTTTCTTGTGCCCCAGTCGACAAGACCGCCGCCGAACTTCAGCAGGAAACCGGAATGAGACTTTCTGTCGCCTTCGTCGCCGGCCCAGTCGGCGTCCACGTAGCATTCCACTTCGTCGGATCCGGAACCCAAGTGCAGACGATGGTCGTTCGTAGTCTTGAGGTATCGGAGGACTCTCTTGGCTTCGGTCCAATCGCGGTTGGTGGGATTGGTGACCTTCCTTCCCAGCAGTGAAACGGCCACGCAGATGTCTGGCCGAGTGTTGACCGCAACGTAGAGCAAACTGCCCACCAAACTGCGATACGACGTGTTTGTGGGCAATTCACACTCCTCCTTTTGCTTGAGGTATCCGGGGTCAATCGGCACCTTCGATGGCTTGGCTTGATCGTGACCGAATCGTCGAATCAGCTTGTCGATGTAGCTTGCTTGATCGAGAGTGTATGCCTCCCCATTCTTCTCCACATGAATCCCCAGGAAGCATTTGAGTTCGCCTAGGCAGGAAAGCTTGAATTGCTGCTGCAGCTGTCGGCGAACCTGCTCGAACTCCTCCTCCGAGTTGCAGACGACGACCATATCGTCGACGTATATGAGTATGTATGTCTGCTTCCCGTCGCGATTCCGGATGTACAGGCACGCGTCGGCGTCCGCCTGGTGGAAACCCATGGACTTGAAAACTCCGTCGATTTTCCTGTTCCATGCTCGAGCGGACTGCTTGAGCCCGTAAATGCTGCGCTTGAGGTGGCACACCATGCCGTCGTTACGATCGAAGCCGGGGGGTTGCTTCATGTACGCGTCCTCTTGGAGCTCCGCGTACAGGTAGGCATTCTTGATGTCGAGGTGCTTCACCAACATCTTCTGCTTGCTGGC